TCTTTGTAATTAGAATTACACTTCTTCGCGCCAAAATACATTAATTCGTCCGTGCGTCCATTGAAATAGTTATATCAGATATATCTGGTGGGTGCTGCTGGAGGCTGTGAGATAGCGAGGTTCCATAGGTTTTAAAAACTTTCACTGTTTTTAAATGGCCACTATTTTAGAATATTTTTCACCCTAAGCCTTTTTTTAGAATTTGTTTTCTTCATTGGACGCGCATTTAATATTGTTCTACGCAGGCAATAATTTAAAAAGAAAATGGTAACACATTTTCTTGGTTATGTGATCGATAATATTTTTATTCAATTTTTTTTTTAATTTTACATATTTCTGATAATGACGCCAGCTAGAACGAAACCTTTCCTGTGCGTTATACTAATCATCATGTTCTTTGTTGATAATTGTTAATTCTAATATAATTTTAATATCAAACGATATAAGAATTATCAATGTGTATTTATTTATATATTTCCTGTCGCATCTATAGTTGAAGGGAGGTATGTCAAAACTAGTAAATTTATCAGTGATTACTTCCCTTAATCATTTTAACAAACTATACAAATAAAATATTTACCTACATTTACAAAAAAATCAGTACCCGAGCTAAAAGAAACGTTTAATTAGTAAGTTACTTTACAACTACGTTGTTTAGATTGCAGTCCTATTTCTTCAAGCTTTTCACGTGAGGCACCCAGATACATTTGTCTATTAAGTTATCGTCTTGCTTCAACTTGGTCTTGAAATAGGATTTTGTCGTGCTGTCTTTTTTTTTTTTAGATATTTTCATTTCACTGTTATATTAAACAATATTTTTAACATGAAGAAATATTGAGCAATAAGATATTTATATAATCTCAGGATTAATCAATGAATCGTAGATACCATTGGACGTCTAAAAAATATAAAGTAAATTGGTTAATTAGACGATTCATTGTCCTCTATTTTAGTTGTGAATTCTTTATCTATGCTTAATTGAATCCCAATATATCGTTTCAAGATTTTTCATTCATTACATTATTAAAACTTCCTAACAATTGGCAAGGGTACACTCATTATAGTATAAATTTATATTAAATCTATCTTCAAATAGTAGAATACATATTCTTCTGGTTCTTTTCTCCATATCCATTTTTGGCTGGATCGATTATTGCTCCTATTTTTGTAACTTTTAATAAGGCTTGGATTTTTATCACTGTAACCATCCCTGATATGTCATGCATTTACAGGAGTACTTGGGTAAGTTATTGATAAGCAACGGAATTTTTACAATTTTATCTAAAAATTTTTAGACAAATTTCAGCTTTATATCCTTTATTTTTTATTTTTTTTTTTTTTTTTGAGATTGATAAAACCGAGATTTTCACTTATCTCGAATGAATACAGACGTTCCTAACAAACAGCATTTTATCTGTATTTTCTAACGGCGTTTCTGCCAAAAGGACAACGGTTTAAACGATCCTAAGAAGCAAGTTTAATGAGATAAACCGAAAGGAAAGTAATCTAAGACTCTTCAATTTCTGGCTTCAGATTCAGAGAGATCAAGTCATTTAGATTTCCATTTGATGTTCTAACAGATCGGTCGACTAAGGAAGAAATTTAATCTCCGTAAACAAAAATGTGACTGTGAAAAACGAAACTTACCGACATCCATTCGGAAAAATGTTTTGGTAATTTTCTTTATCCGAACACATTGATATGTTGATTCGCTGAAAACAAGAAGAGAAAACGATGAACAATCAGTTCAAATGGTTATGAAAAGAGGTAAAAATCTGAGGACACATTGCAGATTGTGTGATACAAAATGTTTAAAAAAATAGGTGTGAAATCTGTTCAGGCAATCATTTGAAATTTGAGATAAGAAATAAGAATCTACTTCAATTTAAAAAAAAAGAAGAAATCTTTTAAAATAGACGTAATTTAGTTGCAAGACATGTTTATCCGGTGTCAACGGTATTAATAACACCATTAAAAAAATGTCGCCGAGAAACAAATTTTATCTTATGTATATATATTTTATTATTCTAAGCGTTACTTTTAAAGACTACGTTTGAGCAGCCATCCCTGATTCTTTTATTTTAAACAGGAAATGAATAACAACCGGCATATATTCTACTAATGAAAAATTGTTATTTATTTCAATGTTTCTGAAAATGAAATAAAGGGATGTTAAATCAATTATGTTTAGTGACAATAAATAATGTTTAAAATAGTAAGAAATACTGACAGATTAAAAATCCATTTAAAACTTTTATTTATATATAAAGAAAATGGACAAAGTCCGACAATTATCATTATTTTAATGTTTATACATTCTTTTTTATATATAAATATTTAAGTAAATGCGCTGTTTATAATAAACAGTATTAACAATATTTAACGGCCAGTAAGTCCAAGAAATTGTCATAGAAAATGTGCGTCGTCCGACAGGAATCGAACCTGTAGCGTATACAAAACCGTCATATAGGCTGACGTGTTTTTACCAACTGAGCCACAGAGGAGCGTTTCGGTACGCAAGGTCGATTTTTCTGTTTTTAAACTACAATTTTCTATGATTTTCTCGTGAACATTCATATCTCCTCGATGCGTATCCAAATATGTGTGTGTGCGTGAGTGTGTGTGTGCGTGTGTGCGTGTGTGTGTGTGTGTGCGTGTGTGTGTGTTAATGCTATTAGTTTCGTAGAGAATTAATCCACTAAGGGAGCTTCTTAATAAACTTCAATTTATGAAAATTCTACCCATTTTGCAAGTAACACTATAAGGATATATATAATTTCTGTAATATATCAAGTAGCTAGTAACTCGGCAAAACTCAGAGTAGATTTGAGATGAATGAAATTTAATTTTACATGTTACAATTGATACCCTTAATCATCAAATTTACTATTTTTATTACAGAAAATTATAACCTTAAACGTTTTATTTCCGGAAATAAACTAGTCGTATATTTTGCGAAAGAGAAGCTGTTATAATACATACATACATACATACATATATATATATATATATATATATATATATATATATATATATATATATATATATATATATATATACAGAGAGAGAGAGAGAGAGAGAGAAATGGATAGATAGATAGATAGATAGATAGATAGATATACTATATGCAACAGATATATATATATATATATATATATATATATATACTTTATGCAACAATTTCCAGGTAGAATGCTTCTCCGATTTCCACAATCTTAGCCATTACAACTAAAGTTTCACCCGTTACCTATTCTACATATTCACATAACTTGCACATAGATATTCCTTTGACGTACACCCAGAGACGTTTGCTCTGTAACATTATACCGTGAATAATTCTTGGGACATGTCCTGTGTTAACCTCTATCTCTCTCTCTCTCTTTCTCTCTCTCTCTCTATATATATATATATATATATATATATATATATATATATATATATATATACACACGTTTGTGAGTGCGTGTGCGTGTAATAACGCGTGCGATAACATAAAGAATAAATAGGAAACGTTTATCAATCTAATATGTTTCACATTTACTAAAGCTTCATCGGAGATGAGTTATGGAAAAAGGAAGAAAAAAAATCTTGTAATTTTACTTTTCTTTCTTTTCCATTTGTCAGTCATGTTTCACGTGCTTTTGGCTCTTTAAACTAGCGTTAGTATAATTTGTGACGTCACGAATTCAAGACTATTATCGGGTATGAAGTCTGTGTGTGTGTGTGTGTGTGTGTGTGTGTGTGTGTGTGTGTGTGTGTGTGAGAGTGATATGTAGGCAACAATGCTTCGTTTAAATATGATTTATTTATAGAAAGAACAAGGAATGTTTTTTTTTTATGTGTGTGTGTTTCTCCTCGTATCAAAAATGTTGATTTTGAACTGTCTGAAAACATATAAAAAATACTTTGCATTCTCCCGTGTATTACCGCACATCGTTAACCATTGTCAATGAAAGAAATTTGAAGTCGAGATATACTCAGTGTATCGTATATGTTGTTAAAAGTGCGGCCTTTGAAAAGGGACGTGGATTCAGATGCTAAGGCGGTGGAACAGGTTGTTTTTATTCGTCTGTTTTTATTTTGCGCCACTTGACTAAAATGACAATTACGTTTCGGAGATATTTTAAAGCTTACGTATCAAGATTGAGACAAATTTTATTGATGTTGTATTGTCGTTTTTTGATGAACAGATACCCACCACCCCAAGAGTTTTAAGAGTTTTATTAGCAGCTGAATTGCTGGAGTGCCGTTGTATTGGATGTGATTGAAAGGGGCGTTGTGGATTCGAGTTAAATGTTTGTATATGGCTCGGAAAAGTAGGAGGTCAATGTTCTCGAGTGAAATGTTGCTGTGTAACAAATATATGCTAATGATATTTTTATTATGGACAAAAACAGAGTTTCCTAAGGGAAGATGGACTTTTGTATTTAACACTGTTATTTTGAAAAGTAGTACCCCCTCATCTCTCTTTTCCTCTGTCTCTCTCTCTCTTTCATATATATATATATATATATATATATATATATATATATATATATATATATATATATATGTCTGTATATATGTGCATGTCTTTGTGTGCGAGCGTCTCGATGTGTGTCTGTGTGCGTGAGAGAAGAAAAATACATATATATATATATATATATATATATATATATATATATATATATATATATATATATATATATAGAGAGAGAGAGAGAGAGAGAGATAAGTGAGACAGTCTTCTTTGGAACCACAATGTTGTGAGTTTTTTCATCACTGGTATTGTATGTGGTAAATTAGGCTTTGTTTACTCTTTTATTGTATTCTCAGCATCTTTCTGTAGAGGCACATTTCTTTGACTCAACTCTCTTTTTAAGTTAATTGTAAAGCCTTTTCAAATGCGCTTATTTTGTTTTATCTCTCTTTATACATACATATATATATATATATATATATATATATATATATATATATATATATATATAGAGAGAGAGAGAGAGAGAGAGAGAGAGAGATTTCGTTTTAAATGAAAGCTGTGTTAAAGCGTCATAAAACAATGATGTTTCGTCTCACCGGACTTATTCAACCTATAGAGTAAGTCAGTTCTGACGTCCTTCTATGATTCCTTATTGCCGGCCATAATCTAAACAGCATCAGCGCCAGATAAGTAGATGGCACTAGAGTCACTCTAAAAGAAACTAGTAAAGGAAAGCTAGAGGACAGGATTAACTAAGGAGACAGGATAAGTGATTTTCAGCCAAAAGAAAACACCATGTTGCGGATTACGAATTGGAGGAATTAAATTCAAGCAGGTACAAAAGTTTAAATATCTAGGAATTGTTTTAAAAGATGACCGAAAAGTGTGACACCGAAATCTGAAGGCGCATTGAGATAGCGAAAGATGTCTTCCAAACACTAAGCAAAGTATTAAGAAGCAGGAAAATTTCGTTAAAAACGAAGAAAATTATATTGGAATGTCATATAATATCGGTCGGTTGTTTTTATGGCAGTGAATTCTGGAGAATCTCCTTCAAACACCAGAAATGTGGTTCTACAGAAGCATGCTAAGAATACTATAGACGGAAAATGTGAGTAACAGCGAAGTGTTAATGAAAATGGAAATAAAACGGACACTTATATTTTGATTTAACAAGAAGCCAACTGAATTTGCTAGCATGCATAATGTAGAATGTGGTTTTAGACCATTTAAAACTCACAGGAATTTTGAACGCAAGAGGAAAAAATATAATCGGTCTTTCAATGGGACTCGGCACATAGATGAATAAACAAAGATGCAATGGAAGAATTGGCTGGCCAAATACACGCTTGGGACAAGTACAAAAATTGCCCTCAGCTCCCGCAACCGTCGGTTTCGCTGGCCTCGTTTCGAGCAGCGAACCCTCCCTCTGATGCAATGGGAGGGCGCGGCCTCGGGCAGCTGTTATCCAGGGCTTTCTCAGTTGCCCCTCTGTCCTTTGACAGAGAAACCCCTGAACGCACTCTGCCCAGAGACGCAAATGAGAGATAAGAGTAATTACACAATTATTAATATGGAATTTAATACTATTTCTATGTATTTAAGTAAGAACGACCGCACAGAAACTTCAAAATTAATATTAGATTCGAGTCGAAAGTCATAAAAAAAAAAATTTAAGAAAAGAAAAATTATGAAGATTGTTTACGAAAGATATTCTTTCTGTCCGATTGACAGTATGGTCTCTTTTACCTTTGTAATTATAACTGATGCACAATAATGGATAAAAACTCCAGACGAGAATATATAAAAAGAGTTTGTTGTCTAGACAGGTTTCCCGATTCGACCCTCGATTCGAATTAATGGTCGAGTATAGTAGTTAGTTTGTTTTGTTGTTGCTTTGTTTTTTTTTATTTTTTGTTCTTTTTGAGAGGATAAAATTTGATACTGTCGACAGCATCAGCGGACCACAAAGGTCAAACAATGGCGGTACCGTTTTTCAGGAAGAAACCTTTTTTTTTTTCTTTTTTTTTTTTGACACTGATAGCGTGAGAAGGAGGGAAAAAATGAAAGATAAAAATAAACAGTGCCTGTTGCAGACGAATTAAAACAACAGAACGTTTAAACATATCTAAAGCAATTAAAAAATATTCATAAGAAAACTATAGTATAAAAGCATGGGCCGGTTGGCTAGTTTTAATAATTAATTATGTTGATAGCTTCTTTGGTTTAATTAACTCCTATTAACCTCCACTACAGAATCTGTTTAACCCATTACTGATTCGTTGTTGGCAAAAGGGATATCCCAACAAGCAAATTACAACTTGGGGATAGCGAAATGAAACAAGTGCAACAATTTGGATATCTTGGAATCGCTCTAACAGAGGACGGAAAGTGCGACACGGAAATCCGAAATTGCTTCGGAATAACGAAAGATGACTTTCAAAACTTAAGCAAATTATTAAGAAACATAAAATTTCGTTAGAAACAAAGAAAAGATCACGGAAATGTTATGTAATATCGGTTCACCTATGTGGCAGTGAATTCGGAACAATCTCCTCACAGATGAAGAACCGATTTGAAGCAAAAGAAATGTGTTTCTACAGAATGATGCTGAGTAAAACGTTCGCATACTGTTAATGATAATAAATGGAAAATATATTAGTTTTCTTATTTTTAAAAATACACTCGCCTGTTTTTTGTCCAATGTATGTTAATCATTTTTTACTTAAATGTAGGTAAATTTAGCATAGGTTAGGCACAAAACGTATTTAGATATCGACTGTTCTACTATTAATAATTCTAACTTTAGAATGTTGACAAAACGAGGGGCACTAAAACTTTTATTCGGGTATGTGTATTTGAGCATGTGCGCCTAACGCTTATTCGGATAAGTTTATCTGAGCATGCGCACCTAACGCTTATTCGGATAAGTGTATCTGAGCATGCGCACGTAAGTGCATTATCGTAACATCACAAACATAAATTGACAGAATAAAGCAAGAATTTATACGAAAAAGGGCGCCCGTTCCTTCTTTCATAAGTACTAATAGAAAACGGCAGAAAATTGTGTGCTGTTTTGCATTACGTAAAAAAAAAAGAAGAAATACATTCAGAGGAGCACGTGAAAAGATGGGGAGATTAATACTAAAAGCATTCAGACTGTTGAACAGAAAAAAATGTTGTAATAAAAGCCAGAAGAAAATAAAAGAAATATATGATTTAATAGTCGGAATTCTCTTGTTCATAATCTAATGGTAGACATAAGAAAATGACAGAGTACAAATTTACATTCAGTTGTTCAGTCTAAACCAGTGCCAGAACTGTTGTTTGAAAGGAAATCCTCCAGTCAAATCAATGTTCATTTTCCATTAACTAATAATAAAAATAATTGTTCATTAGACACGTGTAATAAAAATAAGAATATAATGTGCTTTGAGCACTTTATTGAACCTTTCGATGACTGAATCCCTTATTTACCTACCCCATGTGGATGAGGATGAGGCAGTATGTAGTTTTAATTTACTAGTGTCCAGATGTGTAAATATAGGTCAAGGAAAACGAATGCCCTGTTCCCGCGTTGCCAACTGAACAGCTATCACTCATCACTGCCCGAAGAGATAAAACAGTAAAGTGAAAAACAGATATTACACTTGGTATTTACTCGCCCCACCCAAAATAAGGCCGGTCTAATGTGGGGAACCCAAGCGCGCGCAGATGAGCTAAACCCCAAAATTAACCTGTCCTGAAACCAACATCACGCTAGCGTCGATATTCCATCGAACCACGTTCTGGTGCAATGGGAGAGGTGTTGCCGCAGTGTTGGAATCTCCTGGACCAAACATATTTCATTTATTTCTTATGTTCTGTCCGAAGACAGAATCACAAATGAGAAATAAAATATAGTTTATCTGATACTACACTTTGATTTTAATGCAATGTGGAAGTTTTTGCTGCAGAGTTGAAACACGCACCAACTAATTCTTTTATAGAAACAACCTGAAGAAATAACACAGCAGTAAAGCGAAAACATATACCACACTTTGATCGCAGTGCGAAGGCCGGGTAAAGAGTACTTGAGTCGTCTTTATTTATCTCGTATCGCAGGCATGATATTGATAATATTATTATTATTATTATTATTATTAATAATCAGCTAGGGATTAATTGTCAAACTTTGATCAGTAAACCATTATTAACGGCAAAAACAGATAATCTTATTTGCACTGTATACGTTGTTGGGATTGCTGTCCTCATATTTGTTGCCATATACACGATGTTTCCATCATTTTACAATCCGGCCTTCTTCAGGTGATTGGAATTTCCAAATGAAGTAGATCGTTCTAGTTTCACGTGCCATGCCTCTTCCGGATATCCCTGTATCAGTTCTTTTCCTTCAACTCAAACTCTCCAGGTTCTTGTTCACCTCTGCTGTATCCAGGTATTGAAATCACAACTATTTGGCTCAAATCACCGGATTAATTTAATTACTGGGTGTTCCACACCGTTAATAAGGAAAGAAAGATGGAGGAAAACAATCCGAACCATGTAAATAGTATAAATAATTACGATAGCACATCACAGAAATATAGAAAGATAAAGAAATTCTCATAATGTAAACATATTTTCGGCTTTAAATAAGCTGCAACGATTGATAAACCCTAAAATAAAGAATGAATCAATCCCACGGAAAATTCAAGATGTCCTACTACTGAAGACATGACAGTGAGGCTCATGGCATTATTTCCCTCTTAGACATCATCTCCTTCTGCTCTTAAGTGTTGAGAAGTGTTAACACCTACGTTGACATGGCAAAAGATGATGGACTAGAGAAGATATCACTTTAAGTATCATATATTTGCTTGACCTTAACGAGTTAAGCATGCCTCCTAGAGACTGATTTTAGGTTTCATATATATATATATATATATATATATATATATATATATATATATATAGGCCTCATATATATATGTATATATATATATAGGTCTCATATATATATACATATATATATATATATATATATGTCTTAAAAATAATTGTCGAATTTTGTCCATTTCATAATGTGTGACGTCACTTGTTTACATTTGGATACGCATTGAGCAGATATGAATGCATGAGAAAAATCATGGATAATTGTAGTTTAAAAACAGTAAAATCGACCGTGGTAACCGAAACGATCCTCTGTGGCTCAACAGGTAAAGGCACGTCAGGCTATATGACGGTTCCGATTAGGATACAGGTTTGATTACTGTCGGAGGACGCATATTTCTATGAAAATTTCTCAGACATTCAGGTCGGTAAATGTTGTTAATACTGTTTATTATAAACAGAGCATTTACTTAAATAATTGTATCTATAAAAAGAACTTAAAAAGAACTTTTAAAAAAATGTCTGACGATCTATCTATCATCTATCTATCTATCTATCTATCTATCTATCTATCTATCTATCTATCTATCTCGCCTGACGATCTATCTATCTATCTATCTATCTATCTATCTATCTATCTATCTATCTATCTATCTCGCCTGACGATCTATCTATCTATCTATCTATCTATCTATCTATCTATCTATCTATCTATCTCGCCTGGCGATCTCTCTATCTCGCCTGGTGATCGATCTATCTATCTATCTATCTATCTATCTATCTATCTATCTATCTATCTCTCTATTTCAGTCTGTCTAATATCTATCTATCTCAGTATATTATCCTTCTTTCTTTCTTTCCTCACCTTTCTCTCTCTCTCTCTCTCTCTCTCTATATATATATATATATATATATATATATATATATATATATATATATATGTATATATATATATATATACCACACACCCACACACCACACACACACACACATATATATATATATATATATATATATATATATATATATATATATATATATATATATATATTCGTCTATTACATCTATCTACCAAGTGTACCTAGTTGCCTCCCTTAACTGTATGAATCTCTATGCATCTCCATTCTCTCCTGCCTTCGTGTTTATATATTCCTCCTCGAAGTGCGAATGTACATCGTTATTTTTTTTATTAAAATAACTCCAAAGAAACAAGTTTTCGAAATCTCCCACACCCTCCAGTCATTCCTTTTCTATGTCTGATGCATAATGTCATATAACGTAATTAAATGCATCTTCTCGCCTCTAAGTATTGCCGCGGAGAGGAAGCCACACACGGAGTGCATTCATAGCAGAGTTCCCAATACGGAAGTCAAGAATAGTAAGACTCATTCACACTGACGTCTAAATTTTCTTTCTCGCTTTTTCTCTCTATTTTTTTCTTTCTTTTTTTTTCTTTTTTTTTTTTTTTGTGAATCGTTGCGCATTCTTCATATTTCGAACTTAAGTATGGCCGCTTTTACACCACTGCAAAAACTGTCAGCTTTTTCTACGTGTCGGAAACAAGTACGTGTTTTATATAGTCATTGTTTTATTGTTTTCGTTTTTTGTTTTTTTTGTTTTGTTTTTGATTTTTTTTTTTTTTCTTCAAAAATCGTTTCTATTCTTTGCTTCTTTTCCGGTTATAAAAGTTGCGTTTTAAACTAACAGATCTTAGATTTATTTCGCTTTGCGTGATAGGGAAAAAAAGCCTCAGCCACTTGCTGCTTCACTCATCTATTTTCACGCCTCTATTTTCGACTGCATTCGACCTGATTCTTGTAAAAGGCAATTTACATAAGACAAAACCCATGAACACACCCAACCATCGATTCAACTCAGCATTTTTAAAGCACAACGCATAACAACAACCATTCATGCGAAAATATATTAAATAGTAACGATATTTATTGATTAAGTGCAACCACGAATGTGTATCAGACAGTAATATGAAACGAAAAGCTATGCTTAGATGAGGTTACATCAATAAGTATGCAACTTACATTTTGGTTACAAGGTGAAATGTCATCTAAAATATTCACTGTATAATGTTCCATCTATGTTATTAGCATTTCACCCCCGTATTAGGTGCAGTGTGTGTGGGTGGGTATTTTATTGAATAATGTCGACATACTGTGTCTACTTATTTTTATACTGATCTTTTCTAGTCTCTTGATATTAAGGGAGGCGCCAAAGATTTTTAAAAAAATTACTGTCACAACGGAATGCCAAATTTATCGCAGTTACAATAAGTTTGTCTTTATAATTTGCCCCTAAAGAAGATCTTAGAAAAGATCGAATGTTCTTGGGTTAAACAAAACTACAGCACGTTCCTTGATTAATTTAATCTTAATAAAAAGGAAGATGATTAGACAACAGGAAACGATCAGTATGAAAATAAGTAAACATGATATGTTTATATTATTCAATGAAAAATATTTGAATGAAGATATACTGCATATATATATATAGATAGATATGAGCGAGATGGTCTTGTTCAAATTGTTGATCACGCTAGATAAAACGCTCTCTTCCAGAAATTGTAACTAAGGTCTGCTCAGCGTAGATATATATATACACACACACACACACACACACACATATATATATATATATATATATATATATATATATATATATATATATATATATATATATAATAATAATAATAACTGCCACTCGTATTCGAGGATACCCGTCTGTTAGGTTATCCAATACCTATATATATATATATATATATATATATATATATATATATATATATATATATATGTAGGTAGGATAGTTTTAGGCAGCAAGTATTCATTCAAATCAGATTGATTAAAAAAGAAGGGACTGCCTGTTTCGTTTTTTTATTATATTCTTCCAATTTTCAGATAAGGCGTTGCGCAGTAATCAGCCTCAAATTCTCAACCGAGAATGGGAAAAATATAAATAAACATTAATAGCCCAGCAGGTGTGAGCAATTTCTCTCATGCACGGAGTAGGAAATTTGTATCGACAGAGCTGAAGCCAATGGAAAATCTGCTGCAAAACTGCCAAGACGTTGACGTCCAAATAGATCTTAGGAAACGGATATTTACCCGAAAGTCTTATAGAGCAATCTGCAAGTTGATTTCCTGCGAAAATT